CCCTCCATTTTTTCCTCTCCCTTGTAGTTCTTAATAAGTTTTTGTTATTTCAACCTAAACTCGTTCTACCGTCGATTTACTCAATCCCATCAAGTATGTTACGCGCTGCTTTCCTTTGTTCCTTTTCCACTCAATTTGTCCTCTGAGTATCAGATTTTCCAAGCCTTCCTTTCTCATTACGTACCCCCAGAAATTTAAACTGCTTCTTCCTGATGTTAAGTGTAAGTTTCCTTTATGTTTCTCCAAAACTTCGGTGTTGCTCACATGTTTGATCCATTGTCGCCTCAGCATCTTCCTGTAGAATCACATTTCTGTTGCTTCAAGTCTCTTCCTCGTGTTCGAGGAAATTGTCCAGCATTCAATGCCATACAGAAGGACAGATATCATGTAAAAGTTCACTACTCTTTTCTTTGTTTCCAACTAAATTTTCCTGTCTCTTAATACTTTGCTTAGCTTTTGGAAGGCATCTTTATCCATCACAATATATCTTCGGCTTTGAGTGTCGCACTTCCCGTCATTTGTTAGAACACTTCCAGATATTTAAATGTCTGCACCTGCTTGATTTTGGTATTCCAATTTGATGATGACCATGTATTTTTTAGTTAATGCATAGTCCTTTCTTCTCGCTTTCATTCGCTACATTCTGTCAGGATTTTTTGCAGTTTCCTTTCCGGCGAGCGTAAAGAGCTATACTATTACAGTAACCACGCTCTATCGCAAAATACTAAATCAGTTACTATTAAATGTGAAATCATTGTAATCAAATGAAAGGGGGAATTGTTTGGTGACTTCGTTTTCGACTGAAGGAATAAAGAATTGTAAAACCTAAAACTTTCAAAATTTAAAGTAAAAGGCTTTTATATGCAATTTCAAAAGTTGAATGTTTAGAAGCCATCTTCCCTACCCTCGCACGGAAAAGACAAAAAATAAAATTAGCCCGGACAGAGAAATGTAAACAGTTTACAATTTACAACTGCAGAAACAAATAATTTTAAAATCTTTCAGCGCCGAAACTATTTTGAAAATAAATGCCGACCACAAAACCATCCATTTACTCCTAAAAGCTTTCTCCTGAGTAGCTAGTCCGATTTACTTAGATTTTTTTTTTCTTTGTCAGGAGAGGTTTTTTTTTTTGTTTTTTTTAAATATTTCTCGCTTAGTTTTTTTTTCTTTAATTTAATTTGATTTTCCGTGCTTGTTTTTAGTGTTATCACAATTTAATCTTTTTGTTTAAATTTCCACAAAACATTTCTTTGTCTTCCTAAATCTGCGTACAAAAAACAAAACAAAAAAAAAAAACCTCTTCTTTAATTTCTCTTTGCTATATTCAAAATTCGTCCTGGTTTAATTGGTCCCGCTTTTTCTTTCTCGATTGATATTTATTTTTGTTTTTTTTTTTATTTCGCAAATACATCTTTTTCGTCTTTGTTTAATAAAAATCTTACTAGTGGTAGCCTTTTTTTTTTTTTTTTTTTTTTTTTTTTTTAATATTTTATTCGTTTTTTCATTTGTACTTGTTCGGAATTAGCTTTTTCCCGATCCCAGCATGCAATACGATAAACGGAAGCTGTCTTTCAAAGAAAGAAACAATGTCGGCCAGCGCTGAAATAAGTAAGAAACGACTAAATAAATATCAACACAAGTACTTTAATAAAATTAAAAGAAAAACAGGAGAGATATTCACAGAAAGCGAAGCCAATTTTAAAATGATTGAGTCGTTTAATTATTCAATACGGGTTCAATGTAAAATCTTCCTTATTGCTAAGAAATTGGGAAAAAGGCAATTGAAATAACCTTAGTGGAGCACTTTTCCTGATTTCTGACAAGATTTTAATTTTCAGATCGTTGAATGTCATTTATTTACGATTGTTCTTATTGACGCAGGCTTTTGTGCGACATTTTTGTGAGTGACTTTATTGATGCACTAGATTGAAGTGTTTAATATCCCCATTTTTTTTTCATCGTTTTTGACAGGTCCATGACGTCCAATTCAAATCATTTGGAACATTTCTATAGAGTGAGACTCTTTCATTAATAAGCAAATAATGTTTTATTTTCTACATCTGTAATATTCACTGTTTACTAAGCCACCTGCATGCGGACAGAAAATGAATTCAGAACTAAAAACAAGCCGTAAAACAAGGTTCCTTATCTTCTCAACAGATTAATTTAATCCATAGAGAATTAGATTTCCTACCGGACTGAGGCAAAAGATGGCTTGTTAATTTTAACGCCCCCAAAAATAAACTTCTCTCCATTAATAATCTGAGAGAACCTTCTCGGTCTTCCATCAGCATGGCTGATGCTAACCTCCTGGAACGTAACTCGTTATGTCTTAGCGGAATAAAGTTCTCAGCTGATATCAAAACTACATTGAATCCATTGATAGGTGAGCTGTTAAAAAATTGGTTCACTGTGTCATGCAAGACAATTTTTCTCTCCAGAATCTATCTTACATATCTATAATTCTATCATTCGTCCATGCTTAGAATATTGTGCCTCCTTGGGCTAACGTTCTCAGCTGACATGAAGTGAAAAGACTATATTAAATCCATTGCTAGGTCATCTGTTAGAAAATTGGTTCCCTTTGTCGTGTGAGACAATTTTTCTCTCCAGAATCTATCTTACATATCTATAAGTCTATGCTTAGAATATTATTCCTATCTACAAGTCAATGCTTAGAATATTATTCCTTTTTGGGCAAACGTTCCCAGCTGACATGAATTGAAAAGACTATATTAAATCCATTGTTAGGTCAGCTGCTAAAAAGTTGGTTTGCTGTGTCGTACGAGACAATTTTTCTCTCCAGAATCTGTCTCTGACATATCTATAAGTCTACCATACATCCATGCTTTGAATATTGTGCCTCCTTGGGCTAACGTTCTCAGCTGACATGAAGTGAAAAGATTATATTAAATCCATTGCTAGGTCATCCGCTAAGAAAGTTGGTTCACTGTGTCGTACGAGACAATCTTTCTCTCCAGAATCTATCTTACATATCTATAAGTCTACCATTCGTCCATGGTTAGAATATTGTGCCTTCTCGGGCTAACGTTCTCAACTGACATGAAGTGAAAAGACTATATTAAATCCATTGCTAGGTCAGCTGCTAAGAAAGTTGGTTCACTGTGTCGTGTGAGACAATTTTTCTCTCCAGAATTTATCTTACATATCTATAAGTCTACCATTCGTCCATGCTTAGAATATTGTGCCTTCTCATATTGTAATTTTTCTCAGCTGACATGAAGTGAAAAGACTATATTAAATCCATTGCTAGGGCAGCTGCTAAGAAAAGTTGGTTCACACTTGTCGTTTTACGTAAATAATATATATATATATATATATATATATATATATATATGTGTGTTGTGTAAATAAATATAGAATCGCCGTTTTTTTTTTTTGAACCATAATCTTTGTTAATATATATATATATATATATATATATATATATATATATATATATAATAGCCGGGTAGTCGTGTTTGAGTATATTAGCCGATCCCTATTGCAGACGCTCGCTGTGGCCATACTTTGTTCAATACCCACAGAGCCCACCTGTGTTTTATACCGCAGCTATGCTGAACAGACCTTAGTTACAGTTTCTGGGAGAGAGAACGTGTTATCTACCATGATCAACAATCTGAAAACCTCTAGCACATTCAAACCCTCGATCATGATGACTTGTGACATCGTGCTAAACTTTTCAACCGTCTATAATTTTATTCACAAGTTTTGGGTCAAATTTTTCTTCATGATATGGTTTTTTATACGACACGCTGACCGATGACGCCAAGAAATCTTCCGATATATATATATATATATATATATATATATATATATATATATATATATATAAGATAGGTAAAATGTAATTTTGCAGACTTATCTCAATGAAAATCTACCAGGAAGATGGATCGGGCGTGCTTGTGATAATCACAATGTGTTGTTAAAATGGCCACTACGTTCGACTGATTTGATACCTTGTGTTTCTTTTTATGGACCTATGTGAAAGGACAAGACTATATCCCCCTTTTGCTATAAGCCTCGAGAAACTTAAGTGGGGAATCACTGAGGCGCTGGAGAATGTTACGCACGACATGCTACAGCGTGTTTGGCAGGAGCTGGACTACCGACATGATTTGAAGCTTTGTGAAATCTTACTTATTATAAAACGCAGATTGTGTGTGTGTATGTGTGTGTGTGTGGGTGTGTGTGGGTGTGTGTAATATTGTTCATATTTTATATATTGAATCGGAAAGGATTGAATTTTTCAACATTTCAACAAAATTTCACAGAACTGTTATAATTTTTTGTCAAACTTTCTGACAAAAAATTGAAAAAAAAAATTGTTTTTGCACGAAATCAATTTTTTTTCAGGATTCTGTCGACAAAATGAAAGGGGACAACTCATATCGAGTTATACTTATTATAAAACCCAGGTTGTTTGTGTGTATGTGTGTGTGTGTGTGTGTGTGCGTTGTGTGTGTGTGTTTTTTATATATGGGATCGGATTTCAACATTTTTTTTATATTTCAACAAAACTTCATATTTTTTTTTTGTTATATAGTTTTCTTATTTCATGCACACTTTTTTTTATTTATTTTTACATTCAGAATGCTTTAAAAATTCCATTGTTTATAATAAAATTCTATTCAATCTCATAACGATTGAAAACAATGCTTTTGTTTGAGTTTGGGTTTGACCAATTCGTAAAAAAAAAAAAGAAAAATAATGAAGACATGCGTGTCCGTCAAGCTTAAACAATAATCTTTGTCAATTTTATTTTTCAGTCTTTATGATGGTCGATACTTGATCTATCTCTTACTGTTACATCCCCGGGCAACGCCGGGCTCTCCTGCTAGTCGGTTATAAAATCGACATCCTTTTGGAGAGCCTATTTAAATTTTGACAAATAAATTTGTTAATGTTCATCATTAACAAATTTTTCTGTAAGCTTGAATGTGTGGGTCTATAATGAGCTTAGGTCTATATCATTTTAGAACACCGATTCGCGTACGATCATCGAAGTTAAGCAACGTCGATCCCGGTCAGTACCTAAATCGGTGACCTCTTGAGAATATCAGATGTTGTGAGCTTGGTTGTGTGGGTGGTGTAATGAATAATGGCTCGGAATTGTTAATCGGCGAACCAAGTTCCAATTGCAGTTTTATTTGTTATAATCACATCCACTAATACCCTTGGGAAAGGTATGAATCCACAGCTTCTTCCTCCTAGCTATGGGTTAATTATTAAATTTTTGTTATTAAATCATATTTTATCTCTTGTTACCATAGAAACATTACCATTAGTTTTTGACTAGACCACATATATTTTTTTTTATATGTTTTGAATTTTTTTCTATTTGTTGTTCATATATGTCGGAACTAAAATCATGATTCTTGTTCATGAAAATTTTATTGAGTTTTTAAATAAATTTATTTTCGTTTTAAGCTTAATGAATCACGGCAAATGGCGGAATCGACTTGAAGTTTTAATTTATTCAATTGGAGAATTTTATTAATTGAATCTAATTTTAAATTTCCATATTATCTGTTCTTTTCTTTGTTTTTTTTCCAGCGATATTGAAGTCACTCAAAGTAGAATCCACTCAGACAAAAATCCCCGAAGTTGAAAGTGTTTTTGAAAATACAGCTGACATTTAAATGGGTAGAATTCAATTGCCGATTTTCATGACAATCGCGTTCAACCGAAAACTTTGCTGGACTTAAAGACATCCGCCGCCCCCACTCCCCGAATATTGTTTATGCCGTCAATCAAATTTTAGATGTAAAAAAAAAAAAAAAATTAAAATTATGAGGTCACTACGCATCCCTATAGACAGAAATCTCAAGTTCTGTTTATTCTCTTGTACGGCATTTCAAATTTATTATTGTCATAGCAGATTCTGTCACAAGTTAAAAGAAACATCCATTTTCAGTTCGCTCGCTCTTTCGTCCTGAATGTGATGAGGATTACGGACATATTACGTTGAATTAGAGGTTTCTGTACGATCACCAAAGTTAAGCAATATCGAGCCTGGTCAGTACTTAGATGAGTGACCGCTTGGGAATAGCAGGTATTGTAAGCTTGGATGTGAGGACAATTTAATGGCTTTTGGACATATCAAGTTGAAACACAGGTCTTTGAAGATCACCAAAGTTAAGCAACGTCAAACCGGTCAGTATCTAGATGGGTGACCATTTGTTAATACAAGGTGTTGTATGCTCAGATGTGACGATGGTGTAATGGCATATACGCATATCAAGTTGAAACAAAGGTCTTTGTAACATCACCAAAGTTAAGCAACATCGTACTCGGTCAGTACCTAGATGGTTTACCGAAGTTATACAAAGATAAGTAATGCCTGACACAAGACTCTCAGGAGTTTGCTCCACTATTCTGCGGAAGAAGCTGTTTTATTAGAACTTCCTCATTACGAATGGAATATGACGAAATTTCTGATTATAAACAATAAATCTTCGACGATCTTTCACGAACGATCGTATCTGCCCACGAAATTTAGATTTTGCTAACCAGACGCTTCTCTGTAGCTGAGCGATATAGCACGTCAGATCAATTAGCGTTTCTCTATAGGACACAGGTATAGAGAACGCAAATTTTCTACGAAATTTCTCGAACGTAAAAAGTAAATTATTAGTGTTTATTTAAAAAAAAACAGAGCATTTACTTAAATAATTGTATCTATTAAATAACGTATAAACAGAAAATATATTATATACTAGCAGTAGAGCCCGGCGTTGCCCGGGGATATAACAGTAAGAGATACATCAAGTATCCACCATCATAAAAACTGAAAAATAAAATTGACAAAGATTATTGTTTAAGGTTGACGGACACGCATGTCTTAATTAGTATTTTTTGTTTTTACGAATTGGTCAAACCCAAACTCAAACAAAAACACTGTTTTCAATCGTTATGAGTCTACCGATTGAATAGAATTTTATTATAAACAATTGTCTTATAAATGGAATTTTTAAAGCATCCTGAATGTAAAAATAAAGAAAAAAAAGTGTGCAAGACAATAAGAAACATTACATGCCAAAAAAAAAAAGTGAAGTTTTGTTGAAATCGATTGAAAAAATGTAGGTAGCCTTTCTGTAATCTTTTAGTTTTACAATTTATGATTTTTACTTATTGAATACAGTAAAAAAAAATTGCATATTTTGCTTGTGGTGATTCATAATTAGAATTCTGATTTGAATATATTTTCCACTCGTTGTTTCTAATACAAAAAATATTAACTTTATTTGGGTTTATTAATTATGATCTAACACATCTTATTCATTTAGTAGCCTTTCTGTAATAATAATCTTTTTTACAATTTATGATTTTTACTTATTGAATACAGTAAAAAAATTGGACACCATGTGTATTTAAAGTAGTTTCCCGTTCCGGTTATTATTTTTTAGTTAGGACTTGTGTATGTTTAGATTTCATTATCTTTCCCTAAAGATAAAGAATTCATCCGATGTTTGTATTCGTACAATCAGTAGAGATCGTTAGATTATTGTTTAAGGTTGACGGACACGCATGTCTTAATTAGGTTTTTTTTTTTTTTTTTTTTACGAATTGGTCAAACCCAAACTCAAACAAAAACATTGTTTTCAATCGTTATGAGTCTCCTGATTGAATAGAATTTTATTATAAATAATTGTCTTGTAAATGGAATTTTTAAAGCATTCTGAATGTTAAAAATAAAGAAAAAAAAATGTGCAAGAGAATAAGAAACACTACCTGCCAAAAAAAAAAAAAAAAAAAAAGTTTTGTTTTATCGGCTGAAAAATATAGGAAATCCGATCCCATATTTAAAGGAACCCCACACACAAACAACCCGATGTGAGTTGTCCCCTTCCATTTTCACGATGTCTCTTAATCGTGTTTTCAAATTGATTTTGTGCAAAAACAATTATATTTTTTCCCATTTTGACGCTGTTAGAACCACCACAAGGTAATTTTATGTAATCCTGTGAAGTTTTGTTGAAATCGGTTGAAAAATGTAGGAAATCCGATCCAATATATAAACGTTACAGACACACACACACACACACACACACACACACACACACACACACACACACACACACACACAATCTGCGTTTTATAATAAGTAAGATATATATATATATATATATATATATATATATATATATATATATATATATAGGCATCCACAGACAGCTTTTTATTGTATTATCGCTCATCAGTGTGGCTAGACGTCCGGTTGCCTCTACCTAGGATCGAAACCCGAATAAATTGGCGTCAGTAGAAGATTGTATCCCTAAGCCGTTGGCGCACGACAGGGATAAAGGTGAATTTTAAGCGTATTTATTTTTAGATAAACACACAGTGACCGAGAGAACACCATTCGCGTTATCGAAGAGTCTTGCATTAAAAGTCACTGTTTACAAACTCACACTTCCTCCCCAGAGAGCTCAACCGAAATAAACTTTTCAGGAGCACACACACACACACACACACACACACACACACACACACACACACACACACACATATATATATATATATATAGATACACACACACACACAATATATATATATATATATGTGTGTGTGTATATATATATATATATATATATATATAACAGACATTGAATGTTTATTATGTCTGATCATGATCCGTTCCAATGTTCGCATATTTGCATAATTTCGGGAGAAAATAAAGACAAAAATTGTCTAAAATTTGGATATTTTTTATTCAGTTGTGCTTTGATCTAAGCTTTTGGCTCACATGAACCAACTTCAGAGTGGTTATGCGGACATTAAAAACAAAGATATCAGAATATTATATTTGAAGGTGTACATCTTTGTCTAAATGTGCCTATAAAAATTCAGAAGATGCAAATGTTTTAATGTGGTTCTACAGAAAGATGCTAAGAATCCCATGTTTGGTTGGTTGATTTCGTTTAGCGGCATATCAACACCTCTATGGGTTATTGAACATAGAATTCTACATATTTGGATGAAACTGCATGCTTTAATCACAAATAAACTGTATTTTTGGTTATTTTTCTATAAAATGTATTGTTGGAATCAGACTATGAATAGGTCTATAAAAATGTACTTGAATTCCTTAAGAAATTGTCGGATATTATATGGATTAATATCATGAAAGAATTCTTTCGGAGTGTTTTTTTAGTTGGTGGTTTGGATTTGTTTAGCGGAATATTTAACATCGTGAATATGACAATAACGGTGTGGACAACAGTCCGAACGATGTAAATAGTATAAATAGTTCCAATACCTCATCTCAGAAATACAGGCAGTTCCTGAAGAAGGCCGGAGCGTACAATGGCCGAAACGTTGTGAATATCACAATAACGTTGAGGACAACAGTCCGAAGGATATAAATAGTTCCAATACCTCATCTCAGAAATATAAACAAATCTTGAAGAAGGCTGGAGCGTACAACGGCCGAAACGTTGTGAATATGACAATAAAGGTGAATACAACAGACAGAACGATGTAAATAGTGTAAATAGTTACAATAACTCATCTCAGAAATATAGGCAGATACTGAAGAATAGCGAGGCGTATAACGGTCGAAATGTCGTGAATATGGCAATGAAGATGGAGACAAAAGTCCGAATGATGTAAATAGAGTCGAGACTTACAATACCTCATTTCAGAAATATAGGCAAATGTCAAGATTTCTTCGTTATCGTTGACAGTACTTTTATTAATTTATGTATTTTTTTCCTTATATATATATATATATATATATATATATATATGTGTGTGTGTGTCTGTGTGTGTGTGTGGTCATCGAAACATGGGTCGGCCTTTGCTTAGGTACAGGGACAAGCTGAAAAGGAATCTCTTAGCTGCGCATATAAATCACACTACCTTTGAGAACATCGTAATTGATCGTAATGAATGGAAGACTACATGCTACAATGGCATCAAGAACAAGGCAGCATCAAACATTGTCAAGCTTCGTCAAACTAGGGAAAAGAATAAAATATCTGCTGCTGTTCCAGCCATATACTCCAAGAATCCACAGTCTTGCACAATCTGTGGACTTCTTTGAAAATCACTAACAGGACTGAAATGTCATTTGCGACTCACACACAAGGTTAAATAAACAAAGTTGTCGGAACATCATACGTCGAAACCGACGGTAGAGTCCATATCATATATATATATTTATATATATATATATATATATATATTTAAATGATAGAAATTAAGGAGGATTTGAGATAATTAAGTAATTCATAGAGTCTGAAAGAAACCTCAACAGAATGCAAAAAACACAGAACGACCGTTTCGTCCTATATTTGGGATTCATCAGCAGTGCGTATCCACTACAGAGAATTGAAACACCGGACAGTTACATTGACAGTCAAATGCCATACCAACTGTACTAACAGGCCTCGGTGACGTAGGGATAACGAACTAGACTCGATATTACGCCGCTCTTTCACGTATTCTGTGGTGGAACTTATCCTTATCGGCTTGGTGACAGTAGTCCTGGCTCTTGGACGTAATGACGTTTACCAATGTAACTGTCAATGTAAATACTCGGTAGTGGATGCGCACTCCTGATAAGAGCCAAATATAGGGAGAAACGGCCGTCCAGTGCTTTCTGCATTTTGTTCAGGTTTCTTCTAGATTCGACGAATTACTTAATATATATATATATATATATATATATATATATATATATATATATATATATATATATATTTATTGTTTGTTCTTTATTTAAAGGAAATCTTTTTTGTGTCATGGTATGTTTTCGTACACAGAATGAATAATTCAGAGATCAGTTTTACATTATATCGATATTATGAACTGTATATAGGAATCGACCGTAGTCGGGATCGTCGAGTCAATGCGAATGATCTTTTCAGCAGCTGCATAGTATATGCTTTGCCAGGGCTACATACGATTTTGAGGTCAGTGTTTTCCTTCTCTTAGCCCGGTTGCCAGCCAAGGCTATAGAACCCACTGTATTAAAGTATCAATCGTAGTCGTGGTGATGGAGTCATTGCAAACAATCCCTTCCTTCATATGGTTTTGACTTCAAAGTTTTCCTTCTCCT